AATATCCAGACATTTGTTCTCCCGACACTGAATGTGTCTACATGTATTCATGACAACTTGTATCACATCCAACAAACGTTTTCCACACTTTTAATATTATTTGTGTTTTATACTCATAAACGAACTATGATAGAAGAAATTATTTAATCTTAGAAGGAAATTTAAGTCTATCACAAAGAATTCTTTGTGAAAATTGTAAGATCCTAGATAGTTTCATCATATTGAACCAACACAGATTTAATACGAAAATTAGAGCACAAAGTATAATTAAGCATACCATCTTCCAGGGTTGCTTGGGACTCGTGAAACAACATTTTCTACACGATGACTTTCAGGGTTGGTTATGGAGTTGTACGGTTGTTTAGAAGTACATTCTTTACAATAGCTTTTTCCACTGGTTGTCACAACGCAGTAAGCCTCGACTTCGTTCAAGCCACAAGTTGAAGATGCAATAAGTGAACTTTCCCGACCAATCAACAAGTCACCGGCTCGAGGATTACATATAGTATTTTCACAGGAATAATCCTCCGAAAACGCAATTTCATATGAAACTAGAAAAGTGCTCGGTTATTACTATTACAGTACTTGTTGTCAAAACATATGACAATAAAATGGAAGTCAGCAAAATACCACTCATCGTCCGTTCACGTGAACTACATACACCAATCGAAAAATAACCTTTTGATAATTGTGTCGTTAATGCATATAAACACAGTTAGTGGTCCAACAAATATTACATTAGGTTAATTGAATTACAAAGGAGTTGACAACAAGTCCTTTCATCAATTTCAAATGAAAGTCATCTAGTTCACAACAATATTTGTTGATATCAATGACAGCTTATCAAGTCCGACGTGGTCTTTCAAACATAAATGAAAGTATTCCGTTTCTGTTGTCGGATTGGAATATTTAACCACTTCAAAGGACATACGTTGCCTCTTAACTTGTCGGCAGACATACGAAATAAATTTAATAGCCCTAATCAACCAAGGTGGAACGATTGTGCGGTAGTTCTAGCTGTCTCGACCAACTGCTCTCTTCCTAATTGTTTCAACCGAAACAAGCACATATTTATTTATTTGTGAATACAAGTCTTTTGGAGGAGTACGTAGAAATGTTTTGGCAGGATGGTTTATGTTAAAGTAGGAATTTTGAGTGTTTTTCAGGTTTTATTCATGCGAACCTAATATCTACTTATTTCTAATCATTTTTATATTTCGAAACTTGCATCTCGCGTACTTTTTACGTTTTCTCACATTCTACTTTTTGATCTGCCAATTGACAAGTACGGCAATGGATTTTTCACCAGTACATACACCACAACTACCAGGACGACTAATAGAGGTGCTATACCAGAGTTTAATAATAAATTGAATGTCTAAGTTCTAAGCAACACGCCTATATGACAGCGCAGGATAACATCGGATAATGAACCTCAAGGTAGTGCGTACAACACGGACCTTTTGACCCAAACACCAGAACTGTGTTTCCAACTAAGTAATAAGGATCACACATACTCCTGGTAAGACTAGTCAGCCCAAGAGAATTAAGAGGGAGGAGCGTCAGAATTTCCTCATAACAGAGCTCACTGGTAAGAACCGAACTAAAAACGGTTATTCTTTCTCATCCTCGTAGCTAAAAAAACTGGCAACTTGGTGTCTGTATGTAATTGATGTAGTGACTGACTATACGTTCGTTGTGACACTGTGATAGTTAGATAGTACTTAGAATTCATATTCAGACACCACTTCCCGTTGTTCCGATATATTTGCCCACATTGTAGAAAAACCGGAACTAGCAAACGGGAAACATGGGACCCTCTTGGAACAATCGTACCAGTCTCCACCAGAATGCCCAATCCATTCTACTTGGACACAGTAGTAGTCTTATGGACGTCTATAAGCCCATCGATTCGATGGTTATGTGAAATTCGAGTTTGATACGATCAATCATGAGCCTTTTGAGATATCGCCAAGGGCGAAACTACGAATACTCAGGAGAAAAGCAGTGTCACAGTTTGCGAAGTGCCTGAATTGGCCAGTGGTAGTCGGACGAACACGACTAAAAGTGGCGTTAGCCATACCATGGCATAAGTCTTCACATTACTACGGAAACTAGAGCTTACCGTCATTTCGTCTGTTACATCTGACGACAAATAGTTCACATTGTCTGATGCGACGGAGTTGACCTAGCTGAGGCTCTTTGCCCATGGTACTTGTCGAAGAATTTCCCCTTCACTAACGTCAGGTATTGAGTGAACTTATCAAGACCGATAGGATAAAAGTGAAAAAACCAAACAAGAGACATCTCTGTGTCCGTTGAACTTAATCAACAACCCATAACACAGGACACAGAGATCATAATCCCGATAATGGAATATGGTAGAAAAGCACAAAACGTGCACCACCTAATCCCGACATAACTGGTTAACCGACTTTAAACAACCATTTTTTCGCAAACCCGAAGACAGAGGGTTCTCTAAAGGAAGATCAGGTGATAAGACGAATCAGTAAGTGCCTTTAGAGCAACCTAGAGGGTCAGAATACATCGTCTGAGACCAGAAACATAGCTTCACTGAAACCTGAAGATCGTCGTCCCGACTGAAACGCGGGAATTTCCCGACATCACAGACGAAGTGACCTAAGAAGATGCCTTACTTCTACGATGCCATAGGATGAACAAAACAGGTGGAATAGTGATGTACGCTAGTAGCCATTGCACGGACGTAACACCATACAGTAAAAAACTTTTTGATGTGGCAGAATCATGCTGGTGATGCTACAATGCAGACAGCGCAAAGTGCTTGACCAAAGGAATAAATCGGCCTCACACAGGTTCTAACAACTAAAAAGATAGAGCAGTCCAGGAGATATTAAAATCGATTTAACGGAATTTGGAACAGGTACTACTAGCTGAAGACTCAAACACTCCGTCCCTAAGTAACATTAAGCGAAAAACAACTCTTACATAACGGCTCCATAAGCGGCTTGTCACAAGCTCCATGAGTTCAGGAGTGTCTTAACATGTTGGTTGCAGGAACAATGAGTGGAATCCATCAGTACGCCTGTACATGATCTGTTCGGGCACTCACTGGAGACACATCAAGATTCATGAGAGTCGAAATAGACTACTTGCTTTCCGATCTACAGAGAAGGAGTTAGAAATGACTCGAAGGGAACTTAATCGAAGAGGTTAAAACTCATCCTGTCGAATTTTCATATAATGGGCCTTCTATCCCTTTTAACTTACTTCCTCCGTGGAAACTCCCTCTTAGTTGTCTCCTCAGAGAGCAGTGTTGTATTCATAATGACAGAAAGCTTGGAGACCAGCACAAACTACATAAGGTCTACAGCCAAGACAGACAACTAAATCAGTAATTAAATACCTAATGTAAATAATTCCATAAGCCTTCAACATTGATGCTGACCTCATTAGTTTTACTGAGTACATCCTGGGTGAAAGCGCTAGGTTATGCATCTACGCCAGATCATGAGTGGGTACCCCATGCTACGGATCTCTTGCAACTGCTAGCTGGCATAGATTGGACACTTCTTGACACATCGAAGACCTTTCAAATATATCCTCGAACTCAGTCATTTCTGACTTCTGATTTAACTGGGTTAGTATACCTCGATTATAAAAGCGTTACAGATGAAGGCGTTGTCAAACACTGATTACCTATGTTATCTTCATAAACTACCACTTTATGCTCTGACAACTTGGCTCTTTCACTGTAGAAACAATCTTTAGTTTCTTTTGAAATATGTGGATGGCTACACCCTGATATTCACAGTGTTCCCTCATGCTCTCTCTTCTAAAGATAAATAAATCTGTGAAACCCAGTACAGAGGCTAGTACCTAAGTAACCTACTGTGCTGAGGAACTGATCTGACGAATATTGTTCCCATCACAATTGATTGATCACTGGGTGGTGATCAATGTCATGCTTGTCTAGTCCTTATTAGTGCAGATCGAATGCTATCGATCATGTTGCAATGTAGCCACCAGCCTAGGTGACTCGACACTGTGGGCACTATGTATTGAGATTTAGATGGTGGTGGGAGGTAGTTGACAGGAAACCCTGGACCCGGGTTTCGTGCTACTTGGCACTCGTCAGCAAGGTGTACCTGTAATCTTGAGGGAACAGGTGCTCCCTGGCGGATTCATTCTCGTGTCACCCAGCTTCACAGTCAGAGACGTTACCACTGAGCTATCCGAGCCGTGACTAACCTCCTGTCAATATTGTTCCCATCAATTTGAACCAACCTCACTTAACTATGAGAGAACAATAGGCGATCCAGTTGTGATGTACAACATATTGAGTACGCCAACATACCTCAGAATGGGTATTTTGCAAGTAAATCGCTATCACACTGTTTGAGAGAACCCCAGAAACATTGTACATAAAAGCGCGAGAACACAGCTATCCGCTTACTTTTTCTAAGAGTTGCCCCCTCCATATGAAATGCTCTCCTAGTCAAAGTGATCATAGTCATCCAGTAAATAGTCTCAAGAGGAGACTTGATAGACACGTTCTCACTCAAAGATTACTGTCTTTCACTTGGACTAGTTCTATATAATGGTTGTCATGACACCTACCTACTGTTAAAATTACAACAATTGTATAAACTGTGAAAATTAACGAAATAAATGCAAATGGTATCAAAAACTATCTACAAAATGAGTTTTTCATGCCCATCTCTATACATCTATGCCTTCCTTATAGTCGTGCATTCAATTTCAATCAACTGACTTATTTATATATTATTCTCTTGAAGCGAATGTCTTCTCGTAGCAAGTTACGAACAACATTCTACCTGTTATTGTGATAGCTGCCGATTCTGGAAAGTTTATTGGATCGGGAAGAATTCATTCAGATTACAAAATACATCAACCCATACATAACTAATACTGAGTTGACTGGAACTAGTTAGGTGGCTAGACTACCGCCGATGGGAAACTGCCAATTTCAAAGGATTGTGATGAAACAATAAGGAACTAATTCAAACAAGGCGCCTGATCACAACAGCTTGTCACAAAGCTGTTGAGTACATTAAAAACCTATGTGAACATTGGATACGTTTGATATAAGAGGCTTTCTCAAATCGGTTCGTTACAATATGCTTTTCGAAAAGTCATTAACATGTGACTTTGATGATATCAAATCCGAGGAAGTTCTTATTCTTTCTCCTGTTTTGTATCAATCCGGTGACTTGATGCAATGCATTTCAAAAGTTTCAATGACACATAATCTTCGTCACCTTCTGGGTAATCTAATCAACACTTTGAATTCCCTTAGAAGTTTGAAAATCCCTATACTATGGGAAGAAACATGCACCGAATATTCTCTGTCGTAAGTGCTGTTTTTATTAGATCACGCGATGTAGTTCTATTCCTTCATTTCCTTCCCTCGCTCTAAGTTACGAATCACAAAATGCTTTGGGGAAGTTAAAAACACTCATGCTCCTTATCATTCATTTATGCAACGATGTCAGTTAATTTGAATATTATATTTCTTGTATTTAGAAGCCAGATCCAAAATGCTCGCTAGAAAGCTGTTGCGAACTTATGGAAGCTGAAGCTCTGGAAACTGAAGTTTTTATAATCTTATGTTTTATATTTCATGGTTAGTTCATATATATATCAAATATAAATTCAAGGTCTTTCGAATTACCACTTGGTTGGGAAGTTCTTTTGTGGTTATTTGGCTCACTGTAATACTGTCAATCACAGTATTTTACTGAAGTTGGCAGTTAACTTACCCTCTGATTGGTGGTCTATAGTCCACGAATTATGGAAGCTGGGGAAGTCTCTAACAACTAAGTATGTTTTTCAACTGTTCTTTAATGTATTTCAGATCCTGCTGTCAGGGTGACAATTTGCATGATAAGGATGGGATCCAGCATATTCCGCATTCCAAGTCGGACATTGGAGCCCATTTAAACCCTTTTTCATTGTCATATCGTATTCAAACAGTTTTATTTTACCTGGTAAAGTTAAACCCACACGATGCCGTTACAATAGTGGAGAATTGCGTGAGTTTTTTCACCTAAGATATTCGAAGTAACTTACACTCCCATAATCTATTTTATTAAAACTGGGTCACTATTATGCATTTGAAGTTACTATGTTAACAAAAGTAGCGTTAAAATTCAAGCAACAGAAGATGTTGTTCTTTTTTTAGCGAAGCAATTCAGGTACCATCTTAACAATAGTACATTTTCATGAGTAATTGAGAACTTAGCTTAACAACCTATCATAATAAAAATTACTGAATTTACCCAACTATCTGTAGTTCTTCTGGAAAACTCCGATTACAGTTTACTAAGGGTTTATTCCTTATTCTTTCCTGGAAGTAAAGTTTATCAGTCCATTTGTAGAACTTTTAGCTTTAATACCCTATAATAAAACCTAGTTAAATTGTCAGACGGTTTGTCAGTCATATATAATGCTCTTCATCTCAATTATTCTCCTCCGTACTGCTTATTGTCTATCAGGATTCGACTCGTGTTCTATATTTATTATTATACAGTTTCGAAAACCACATACGTCAGAGATCCCGAATTTTGATCTTGAAAACCTAAGTCCACAGATTATTTGGCTAGCACCGTGTCTAAGACTCGTGTCTATGCGATTGTTAGCTATGCTTACTTCCCTTTATGATCTAGAATTCCGTATCAGTTCGTGATGCGCCATTCACTACGTTGGAAGTGTTTAATTATATTGGACTTTGGATCTAGTTTTGTTACTTACACCTATGGAATGATGCTTGCAACTGAAACATGTGGCTGCGTATACTTTTTGTTTTCAGATTACCACCCGTCAGTTTCCAGGCTTAGTTTTGGATTTACTTTTTGGACTGATCAATAAAGAGGGTTATACCTTGAATTTTCTGAAAAGGATTTTGCTAGACAGTGGACAAGACATACGATCTTGGATGAGCAATTTTCTGAAGCTTCCAGTAAGCGTCTCCGAGTTTCTTACTTATGTTTTTAATAATACAGATATCTTTATTAAAAAAAACTTTATTTATATATGCACAGCTAATCCATTAAATCAATCTATTTATTCTAAGATTTTAGTTTCTCGGAACTTGGGTTCTTGGGCTTAAGCTGCAGTTAGTATTCACGTTAACTAAATTGAATCACAAGTTATTTTGTTTTATATCTCCTTGGGAGCATCAGACCATCGAAGGAAAAATTAAAGCCTTTTCTCATATCCTTCGCATTGTGCACAATGTGACAACACTATATATGGTAAATTGTCGTTACAATCGGTAAATTGATAAAGCGAAGTTGTAAATTTTGTGTTGACTTGGAAGGAGTCTAGTCCATGCAAACGTAGTTGTCTTTTGTTTAAATGAGTATATAGAATAAGTTTTCATCGATCAGGACTTTTACCAAATATAAAATAATATTAATATCGAAACAAACTAATAAGGTATAATTGTTAGGAACATATACATACAGCTCGTCAATGAGGGATGAAGTTGTTTTTAATTGCATTATTGGGTAATGTAAGGTCCATCAATGGAATGATTTCATGTTAGTGCAGCTACTTTGTGTTTTATTAACATAAAGGTTAAAGGATATGTAATCTTGAGATGTATAAAATCGGTGATTGTATTTGATGATAATATTGCAAATAAAATTAAATACTGTAACTGCAAGGTAGAAATAATTCTTTTTGACTGAAAAATGAGTTGTTTATATGGGATATAGTCAGTTACTTCCGTAAATCGTATTTTAGGTGTACCTCAAAAATCTTGCTAAAATGGATACAGTACTTAAACTTCGGTTGTGTTGACTCGACCATGTAAAGAAAAAAAGAGTGGACATTTGTAAACATGTTTGAAAGCTATGAGTTTGGTTTTAAAATTAATTCTGGGACGAACGTCTTCATCCTCCAAATTTAACAAAATGATTGGTTAGTATCCATTACTGATTGAGGTAAATGGGATGGAATTAAGAGCTGCTATAATGATTTATTTATTTATTTATTTCAACACATAGATAATTGTACAAAGAGGCACCAAATACATATGCGCCACACAAATCTCATTCGATATGTGTGAGGGCTGTGATACTGCCCGGGTGCCCAAACCGAAACAGGTGGTTTCCTTAGAGGGCCACACCCCGAGCCTTCGACCTGAAGGTCTGATCCACAAGGCAGTGGAGCATCGTAAGGAGATGCAGTCCCATGGAAGCCGGTGACCAACAATCGGTTCATTCGCCATTTGTTCCCACAGGATACTGGAGCCCATGTGCACCATTGGTTTGGAATCCGGTTAAAGCGCCGGACATTCGCTTTTCGTCCTCTCATTTTCGTGAACAACACCCTCGCCACGAGAAGGCAGTGAGTAGGACTTCCCTGGCAGAGGCTATATACGCGTGGCCGTGTGAGAGTATTTCGAGAGGGAGAGCGGACTCTCCCCACTCTCGGCCGTACCAGGGCATTTGGGGGCTGCTATAATGAAACCAACCAAAGACCCATGGATAGCATATTATGTAAGTAAATAAGCAACTCACTATTAAAGTTTGTTTGCAGTCAAAGTTGATTTATTTTTAGCATTTTCCACACCATATTTTTTGACGGCCTTTTACTGTGCAACATTATAAACCTAAATTCATAAAGTACTTTGATTTTGAATTAGAATTTTAACGAGATTCATTAAATATGCTTAATATTAGGTGCTTGTAATGTCAGGTTTCAAAAAATTTAATCAATAAGCATGTTCACGGTTTGATTATTTATTCGGACTTCGTTATTTATAGACGGAAATACAATTAGATATTCTTTAGATCCAGATTACATGTATTTAATGATTTCTATTGTCTCTAATATACCCATGGATTTCAATATGGCTTTTTTTCACCATAAAATTTTTCAGTCTTCATCATGGTACTTGGATAAGCTAAGCCATCATTTTGTAAAAATCACTTCTTGCCTTATACCACGTGATTCTGCAATTCCTTTGGATGATAACATGATTCTCACTGCGTTAACATTACTTCGTGTGTTAGCTGCATTTCGTGGGTTTATAAATTACAAGTAAGTTGTTTCTTCTTTTCCCCTACTATTGTTTTTAATTCATGGCTTAAGCAATAGGCTAAAGAATAACAAATATTTATGTAGTTCAAGGTAATGTAGTTCTGATCAATGTTTATTTCGGTGCGGCAAATATACTACTTAATACTCCCTGGTAGTATAATTTATTTATTGAGAATTTAAGTTTCTTCTCAGCTTTGCGCAATCCAGTCCTAAAAAAGTAACCGATTGGTTTTCGAAATACTTTTGTCGGTAAATCATTCTCGATATTTCTTATTTTACTATATTCATTTGCCAAACTTACTATGCCTTGGATATGTTAAATTCTTCAATGACTAGTATTCTGTTTGTTTGTAAACAAACTAATTCATATTGAAAATCCTTTACTATAACTAGGGCTTTTGGTAATAAAAATAAATGTTGCGAAGAAATATTTCTTTTTAATTGGCTTTATGTCGTAGCTATATATATATATATATATATATATATATATATATATATATATATATATATATATAACAATTATAATTTAGCATCAGTTAAGTGATAATATTGCGTAATAGTACGTTATATTAATTCCCCTATGGTTATGAAAATGATATTGAGTGCTTGATCGAGTAATTAAAGTGGGGAGGGGTATGAGATAATCGCAGTAACCAAAGTAATTATCCACAAATGAATCTAAGAAGAGGTATTTTCATATAAATCTGGGATTTAAAGTTGATTACACATCCCAAATACTTCAGGATGGTGTGCCTTTGACAATCAAGAAAACATCTGTACTAGAAAACTACGATAACCTTTAACAAGCGTAAGGATATTTTCCATGTCTGTGAAGTGTAAACTCCTCTGTCTGTTTACCTTCATGTTCATCCACTAGTTCACCCATGGAGCAAGGTTGTTGAGTTGTAGCCAGCACCCTTTCAACATGGGTACGAGGGTAATATTCAAGCTTGGCTTTACAAGGAAGGATGGAATGTGGTTAAAATCTCCATCTTCGAAGATTTGATCGACTTTAGTTTGTTTATATAATATTTCAAAATCTACCATGATTTCATCGTATCCGACTCCTTAATATCGTAGAAGCTCCTTTCATCCGTGATATGAAGCCTGGAATTTGTGTTTACGAGAAGTGTTTCATCTTTATCTGTGCCTTGCTTTAAACGAAGTATATTATTAGTTGTTTTATTCTTACTTATTTGATGTTTTAACTTGCAAAGGCCGCTCTTTCTGTACTTATTTTTTATATCTCCTTGGATTTAACCTTTAATTGCTACCTATATCATTTCATTTGATCCCTTTAATGCCTTTACAATCAAGAAAAAAACATTTTAATTATTTTACTCTATTCATAGGATAATCTAATGTTACCTTATTTCTTTTACACTTGTTCTTTATTTGTGATTACTCTATAGAGGTTACATAACCTTATATTTTCAATTACACTATTTTACATAGTATTAAAATGTTCCAATTGTATCATACTTGTGCATTTTTCAAGTTTCGTCTTGAAATTAGTCTTTAAAATCTTGTAAATAAACCAGACTATACAGCTTGATAATAAGTCTGTTGTAGAGAGATCACTTTGCTGAATTTTTTTATACTTGTAAAATTGGTCAAATAACTATGATAACAAGTCAGTTATGCATTAAAATCACGTCATAGTAGATGTGTGTTACAATTATGTAAAAACAAGGAAAGCAAAAAAAAGAAATGGCAAACCTATCTAGATCTGCTCTGGTAAAGCAGGATTGTATAGATTAATGTAGAACCCTGATAGAAAGTCTAATTAAAATAAATTTCTCCTGCTCCATTTACTTTTTATCAAATGTCTGGATAAAACTTTTGTCTTCTTGCTTGGTTGATTAGAGATTCGACCAGGTTGTTGTGTGTTGTGTATTAATTTCTTTCAGTTACCTTAAAATGATGTAAGACGTTATTATTTAATTTTATGCTTCATATGAAGTGTTGTTTCGGATACAAACTGTATAACAATTCGACCCTTATAATTTTCCATTTGAATGCATAAGGCTGATTAAAATTGTATACCAAATATTTTCAAGCTCTCACGTGGTTGTGTTCCATATTGTTTATATGGTGTATGGCAATATTTCTAGCATATCTTAGTTCAACTGACATAATGATCTGTTTCTTTTGATAAACTCATCAATATATTAGTTGATTAGCATTACTGACATAGTTACATAGTAACCGGAATTCTAATTGTTTAACTTCCTCAGTTCAAGTATTTGTTAAACCGCAACTGTTTTAATGTCTTTCGGGACTAAAGTTTCAGTAAATACACGTGTTTTTAGTCGGAGTTGAATAGTTTCTAACAGTGGAATATAGATCGTCTGTTTCGCTGTATTCGATACTCGTCAGCTGGATATGCCTACATCCTTGTGTTTATATTCACTCTAGGACTCGAACTCAGTGCTCTTCGCTTCAAGTGTTAATACGTGATCACTTAGCTGCTTAGTCCAAACAATCACAGGCTTGTACAACGGGTGTCAACCATAATTCAGTTGATCAGTAGCTTTTAGCATGTGTACATCCTGAGTAAACCACTTGGGTATTGCCATCAGTCACAAGTATTCTCCAAAGCGAAGGCAATGCACTCAGGATCCATATATACTAAAAGAGACTGATCATTTACAGACTTTAACACTGAGGACAGGAAGATTCAAACTCTTGCAAGTGAATTATAACAGTAGTTTATTTTGAGATAAATTCTGCTTCGTATGTGACCATATATATATATATATATATATATATATATATATATATATATATATATATTTTAAAGTAGAGCGAGTTGGTGAATAGTAAAACTGGTTGTACAGAAAACTAGTTTTGTACTTTGACACCCATTTTTCCATTTTAGACGCATTTTTTATCCTAATTTACGATATTTAAGATTTAATTACATTAATTAATTAATTTGTGTTCTGTCACACACAGAGATCGATCCTAAGGGATGGGAATAAAATCAACCAGCTAACCATAAATCAAACGATTTAATTATACTGCCAATAAAGTTGAATTTTATTTATTTAAACACATAAATATTGGTACAAAAGGATATTAAAATGGTATATACGCCACACAATAAAAATGAGATTGTGAAGAAATCGAGAAAGGGGGTGAGTATAATAAAAAAGAACAAAACTAAATCGAAATTAGTATATGGGCGGTGAAACTAATAATAGTAATGGTAATTGTTATAATAAAAGGAGCATTTCATTCAAGAAGTTCCTCTACAAAATATTAAGTAAGCTGAAGATTACATCAGGACTACTACTTGGTTTTATTCTGAGTCACGTCTGTTTATTTATTTATTTGAGCACATAAATATTGGTACAGGGGGGCACCTAATATGTATGCGTCACACAAAACAATGGGAATAGGAAGAGGAAAAAGAAGGTAAGGTGCGCATAAGGACAATAATGACCACAGATTAGTATAAGGTAGTGTAATGATAATAATGGGGGAAACGGAAGAGTAAAACCAGAACAATTCTTTCAGTTAAGGAAGATACAGCCACTTTTTATGAAGAAAGTAAAATAAGGTTACAGCATGATCGCCACTGGCTTCTATTCTGAGCCATATCTGATAACGTCTCTAGCCACTGTGTTGCACCATCTCTCAGACTCCAGCCAGGGGGTCGTGAAGGACCAACAGAAACCAGTCCTTTGCAGCTTTCTTTCATAACACGACACCATGTCATGCACTGACCACCTCTCCGCTTTTTCCAACCAGTCCCAGAGTCGACAAATAATGCACGACGTGGAATTCTCTAGGACGACATTCGTCGAACATGTCCAAGCCAACGAAGTCGGTGTTTCAAGATCGTGACATCAATTGCATTATCATCTCTGTGCCCGAACACACGATGCCGAACCTCTGCATTACTGACATGGTGTTGCCACTGGATGTCAGCAATCCTTCGGAGACAGCGATGATCGAACACAGAGAGTCTTCTAACGTCCTCAACTCGGAGAGGCCAGGTTTCACAAGCATAGGGCAGAACTGCTCTCACCGACGCGTTGTAGATCCGACCTTTTACAGTCAGAATAATATCACGAAGGTGCCAAAGATGGTCCAGATTTGTATAAGCCACTCTGGTTCTCACTATACTTGAATCTATCTCATTACTCACGCCACCACCAGTACTTATGTAGCTACCTAGATATACGGACTTCTCGACTACTTTTATCTCCTCACCATCCAGGGTGAGTACAGGATTAGAATCCTGCCAGTCTTGTAGAAGTACTTTGCACTTCGAAGGTGCAAAACACATACCGTACTTACGGACATTGATTGCCATCTGATAACTTATCAAGCCATTGTGACACACTGTCTCTAGAACCCTAACCAGGGAGTCGAGAACGGCTAACAGATGCTTATCCTGTACGTGTACAGATGCTGACGTATGCTGGTGTTTGAGTTATTTAAAGATTTGTGAAACAAATCTATCTGTCGCTCATTGATCTCAATTTGTTTTTTTCTTTGAAATGAATTCTTTTCTATAGTTGGCTATTTTCATGTTAACTGTCAGTCATTATTTCATCTAAAATCACTTAACCGATAGGTAACTAGGTCGACACCAAATACTGACTATTAAAGACTTTTTATTTGGTTTATCGAAATATTAACACCGTTGTAACTCTGATACGTTTTCTCTGTGTTTCATATTGGAGTTTTAGCTGATAATAACACTAGTCGTCAGCTTAAGTTATGTAAATTTGAACCGTTGATAAAATTATCTAATTAATGAGTCATTATTGAATTGAACAAAATCCTTTTTCTCCTTTGATCTCTAATCTAAGTAGATATAATTGTAAGCATTAAAAAGTGGTGAACTTAACAGGGTAGATCATTAGGTTTTTTTAAATTGTCTCACATTTATTTTCAATGTTCAAAAGCTTTGTGATGGGATTTTTATTCAATATTACTTCCGTCTTTTTTAATTCAATGTATTGACTACTCAGTTGTAGTAGTAGTAGTAGTAGTATTTGTTTTGTTTTCTCAGTATGGTAATTTATTCTGTATAACTATTTGCTATGATGGAAAGAGAAGTCGATTTTCGATTGATTTACTCATTATGAGTTTTGTTTAATATTACTTCCTATCTGATTCAATATGATCATTCAGTGTAGTATTCGGTTTTCTTTTCTTGTATGATATTTTATTCTGTATAATATACGATATTCTTGTATTTCATTGGTATGAACTATGCTCTATATGTGATTAGTTATAATTGAGTATTTATCATATATGTGATTTCATCCTAATTATTAATCGAAATGAGTGTATAATCAATATATAAATTAGTGTATTTTCGACTGGGAAAAATAAGATTCTTTGATACAACACAGCATTCATCAATCGAATCACACTTGACGAAGAAGCTTTGGAAGATGTAAAAACCATTACATATCTGGGCAGCATCATTGATGAACATGGTGGGTCTGATGCAGATGTGATTCAGGCGCGAATCGGCAAAGCAAGAACAGCATATTTACAACTGAAGAACATCTAGAACTCAAAACAACTGTCAACCAACACCAAGATCAGGATTTTCTATACAAATGTCAAGACAGTTCTACTTTATGTGGCGAACTACGAAAGCTATCATCTAGAAGATACAATTGTTTATTAAAAGTTGTCTACGCAAAGCACTTCAAATCCGTTGGTCGGACACTATTAGCAACAACCAACAGTCGGAGAGAATAAACCAGATCCCAGCGGAGGAAGAAGCGCTAGAAGTAAATATGACACACATTGGGGAAAAAACCTAACTGTGTCACAAGGCAATCCCTCACTTGATATGCTAAAAACCAAAGGAGAAGAGGAAAACCAAGGAACAAATTGCACTGAAAAATGGAGACAGACATGAGAAGAATGAACAAGAATTGGATAGAACTAGAAAAGAAGGACCAGAACAGAGTGGGTTGGAGAATGCTGGTCGGCGGCCTATTATCTATTGGGAGTAACAGGTGTAACTAAGTAAGTATTTTCGACTAGGGTCTTCGTCGTATTTTGGCGGTTAATATATTTTCACTTATACCAGCCCTTGTGTTCTTACTTTCGCGTTGTGGAACTTGTCGAGGTCCCTCATTTTGAGTGTAAGTGATAAGCGTTTCCGACACAACAATCAGCAACGCCCAGATATGAAAAGTAGAGTTCAATCCACAAGACATATTAGTGGCGATGGGGTGAAGAAAAAAGAACCAAGACACATTGTAAACTGGTTTCATACTGAGAGTTATTTGAATACTTTTTTATTAGTTATAATAAATATATTATTGTCATTAGTTAAAGTAGTATTTTGTCATCTTTCTGCAAAATTATTTCAGCTTCCCACCAGAATTGTCGCAAAAATTATTAATTCTTCTTACACATCGAACAGTTGTTTCTGAACGTGGCTTACAATATATCAGTTATTCGCTTGCATTCTTAATTGGGTTACGTTCAAGTTTGGCAACAGGGTAAGTTATTTATTTATAAATTACAACAAATTATTGTTTCATTGTAGTAAGGATTTTAAGTATATCATGGCATTAACTATAAAAGAGCACCATATTCATTAGACTGATTATTAAGCAACAAATGATAACTTTTTGTTGCATATTCTCTTGGTGAGGTGATATCAGTCCATTCAAAGACTTGCATTGTTAAGGGAACTGTTCATAAGCAACTTTCACTCTATATTGGGAGGATGTTTAGTGACTTAAGAGGATAGGAGAAGGCTAGTATCATCTGAGCCAAGATATAGGATCAGTTCTTAAGGTCATTAAATGTTTGTCTGAGTTTTGTAGGCAGATGCAGACTTATTAATTGGAATCCCCCCTCCTGATTATCGTGATAAATAATTGACGTTAGATGATATGGCTTAGAGTTAGTTTCAAATAGCCAATATACATTCACTCTTTATCTCTCCTTAGATTTTGAGTTTTAAATTTATCTCAAATTTTATGCCGTGAATTAATCCATTCTTCTCAAATGATATTGTCTGTATATAATCCTTTCTACTATTGTAATGTACGAATGAGTGCAGTCCAGGTTGACTGCGTAATATTATATGCGATCCTACTATCTATGAGAACAGGAACCACTGTAATTCCCACGACGTGAAATGTGAACTTAAAGTTTGGTGTAAATGAAGATTTATTGGCTCTTCAAAAATCATTACCCCAAAAACTCCCAAAATCATGTGATTAGATCAAAATACATTTGTGTTATAATTTTTACACACAAGAATATGACATATAGAGGAAAATACAGAGTTATTGTAAAAACACAAATTAAATATAGTTCACCTGAATAGGCACAGGGACTCTAATCGTCATACTAAACGGAAAGTTATCGTATGTCATATCGAAGTTTATACTGAGTTGTTACAAGAAATATTGGCATGGAAACGTCACTGAACGAAAGTTCACAAATCACCCTGGTCTAAATTCATAATGAATTCGATACAAAAACTGTTGACCTAAATGATGTCATCTTTTTTTACCTCATCATGTCAAAGCATAATATATCTTATTCATAATAACAGTATTTGTTTTTTATTCTACTTACAAATATTGATTTCTTTGTGGTATTCAATTTAACTCTAATCGTGAACTGATTTCACCTTATTGCGTGCAGAATATCTTCAGATACTAATGGCGTAATGCACAATAATAGTCGTGTTCCTGCAAATACAACAGATATTGAAAATACAATTGTAACTTGGCTCCAACGTTTAATAGATGAACAAGATATTTTCAATTCACTAACTCAATCGTCATCGTCATCTTATCTGCGTAATTGTAATCAATTTTCAAAAACAACATCGTACATTGAACCTTTACTGCTTTTAGCTATCTTATTTCATACAAATCAACCTGGACCAATCACTGAACTAATATCAACTTTACTTGGTCTACGTATACCATCACTTGGACGAACTATCAATGGATGGCGTAAATTATTTTTTCAAACTGTTTTTACAGAAAATGTAAGTTTTGTTTAAATCATTATCATCATAATACATTACCAATCCATACATACTATTGTTTAAAGAAACACATTATTTATTTTGTTCAATAAACTAGGTGGTTACCTGTTGAGACTTAAATAGCTTGAAGATAATAACCTAGATAAAGTCTGATGGTGTTAGATAACTTGCGTGTAAACACTTGACCATTTTGTTTGGTCTAAAAAACATAAGTCATTAGATTATGTTGTATCTAAAAGGGAGAAATATGTATTATCTGTACCAAATTATTGTCTATGCAAGCTAATGAATGTAGATGTGACATGACAAAAAATCACCGGTGTCATCTAAAAAACATGGGATTATTTATTACACTGAATAAAGTAATCAGTGTGTGTAAAATGGATTAGCATTAATACTAGGAAACATTACTTCGATTTGATAATATTTATCCATGGCGAATCCAATTTCAAATCACAGACTGGCTTTGATTGGACAACCATGCCTTCAGACACTTGAGTTGACATTGATGAGGAGTCCTTCACCAGAATGAAATAGCTGTCTTATGCTTCTTGGTTTTCAGTAATTTTCTGACTAAGTTTATTCACTCCGTCATATAAAACTCAGATCGATTAACCTAATTTTATTTGACTATAGAATTTACCCCTTTCATTTTAGTCATATCAACTCTTTGCCACCTCTAAAGGTTTTTGCAGGATTAGGAAATTCTTTAGCTGAGAAGTTCATATTCTTTATGTTCTTTACGTTCTCATTCATTGGAATTAGTTGTTAACTCAGCAGTTAACTAAAAAAATAATTTTGGAAGTTTTTTCTGTTATTCTAGTCTACTCTAATCAATAAGGAGTATTTTTACTATCTTGAAAGAAATGAATGATATTCCAGAAATATCTAAACCTGCATCTCCAAGAACTTTATTCGAATTTCTTACCTCTAAACTATCTAACCTGTCACTGCATGTTTAATATATATCTAATTCATATCCCAAGGGTTTTTGCGGATATTATGGTAATTTCAGTGGTTGAGATCATGAGTCGATTGAAGCTGGATCACCACAGAAAACCTGGAAGCACTGGATGGCTGTTTCGTCTTTCTGTGGGACTCCAACAGCGTTCATCCACGATCGAACCTAGGATCTATCAGTATCGCGCGCGAGCGCTTTACCACTAGACCACTGAGCCGGTATCCAACAGTGTTAATGTCTAACTTCAATCAATCCACCAAATTAAGCCTTGTCGTACAACTACCCTGCTGCCCACCTGTTGAAAGTGAATTTTGGTCTAAAATTAGAGGCATTATTATATCAGTAAATGATGGTCACTCATAATATAATAAAGGTTTATTAGTTAGACAACAGAGTCACTTTATCACTAAAGTATAGATTTATTGCTAGACATCAATTAACGATAACGTGTGCGTGTGTTTTGCCCATTGCACACTAAGAAATAACATCCTTCCTGGTTACTTAACCACTTAGCAACCGGTTGCAAACATGCTCACACATACTGTCACAGTGCGACGCACCACCATTGTTTTCAGTGAGTTATCGTTTCACAGCTGACCCAGTTGAACTCCACGGGGCACTGCTTCTCACTAGAACTTCAGGATGCAAAATGTTGCTTCAGGATTGGGTTACATCGACACCCGAACTAGTGATGGAGAGTGAAGTAGTTGAGTGTGTCGACCGCTTTACTTATCTTGGAAGTCTCATCAGCCCTTGTGGTCTGGTGTGTGACGAAATCTCAGCACGGATATAGAAGGCTCGACTAGCTTTTGCCAACTTGCGTCATTTATGGCGTAGGCGAGATATCCGTCTATCAACCAAAGGACGGGTTTACTGCGCAGCAGTACGTCCCATCCTACTTTATGGCAGTGAAACATGGCCGGTAAGAGTAGAGGATATTCGTAGGTTACTAGTATTCGATCATAGGTGTCTTCGAAACATTGCTCGTATATCATGGGACCATCGAGTAAGTAACACAGTTGTTAGGAAACGGGTACTAGGCAAGGATTGCAAATCAATTGATGAAGTAGTGAAACTTCATCAGTTGAGATGGCTGGGACACTTGTTACGTATGCCCAACGACCGACTGCCTCGACGTGCGATGTTCAGTGATATAGGAGTAGATTGGAAGAAAGCTAGGGGCGGCCAGACCAAAACATCGCACAAGTCCATGAAGTCACTGACAAGTGGTCTGAGTCATGTTGATAGGTGTAGAATACCTGGTTGGGGACCGCGAGATGATAGCAACCGATGGTTAGAGACCCTGAATGACATGGCTCAAAATCGTTTGCAATGGCGCAGGTGCATACACTCTTTGTGTTCTCCCAAATTCTAATCTTCTGAATTCTTCATGTCCCTTTTTTCCTCTTTCCAAATTTATTTCACTGAATTATACTCTTTAAATAACATCTCCAAACCCTAATCTTCCCGATCACTGCTTACACTCTTGCTACCTCTACCACTACAGGATTTGGGTCGACAACTGCATCTCTGTGTTAAGGTGGTGTGTCAACTCGAACTGATGTACGTACGTACGAAGTTCTACGTTGTTACTGACTGACTGACTGAGAACTTCAGGAAATACCTCTTGAAGTCAGTCACTAGTGAGCATATGTTGATTTATATCGAAAGGGTTTTTTGGATATTATAGTAATTGATAATTTACTTATAGTTTTTAAGTATTAACAATGTTATACACAATTTCAATACATATCGTAATAAACCAAGTTTCATATCAACTCTTATGAAAATGGATACAGATTTTATGTAATTAATCAGTTGAATGAAGTATTCATTAAAAACCATTTTTAAAAAAACAATTCTGCTTCTATATCCTGTCTTATGTTTTTGTAAAAAATATATCTATGCAGATGATTGCTAATCAAGTTGCACGAATTCCAATTACGCCAAAATTGAGTCGACATTTAGTTGGTCACTTACCAACTCAATGTATGCTACAATTACTTAAATCACATGCATTTGCTAAAAATAAACTACATACTAAGGTAAGATATATTTATTTATTTATTTATCTATATCTCTCTATTTTTTTCATATCTTTTATTTATCTGCCATGACAACTCTGGCGTGTTTGATTTCAGTATGAAATCGAGGATACTGATTATTGTTATACATTGATAAATGTCTTGCTTTTGTTCATTTTCTTTTATTAATTAAATAATTACAATTAGATTCATTGGACACTTGCCAAATTTTTAAATTTTACATAGATAATGGTTAAGTTACATGATTTTGTGGTTAGTTCGTATAGTTTGTGAGTATATTTCATAATGAATTGATATGAAGTTATCCAAGTCAAAATTCAGAATGTACCACAGTTATGATTACTGAAGCAGAAAATCTGAACCAATTTTCTACGTTTGGTGGTCCCAATATTACTGGAACAATGCTTTGAAGATACTTATAATCAAATACTGGTAACCTATGTATACACTCTATTTTTAAAGACCACGTTTCAAAGCTACAAAGCAGATCGAGACGAACTACTGGGCTGTATACTCGTCCTTTAGTTAGATAGGCATCTACTCTACAATATGCTTTCTGAATTCGTGCTGAAATGTCGTCAGACACCAATGTACTAGAACTAATGAAACTAGAAATAACTAGAGTGGTCTATTTGTTCATCCACTTCACCCCCTATTATTAATTTAGGCTTTGCTGTAGATCAGTCTTGAAGCAGCATTTCACAGTCATAGAATAAGATATGCCTGTTAATACGATCGTTAGACTATATTTTTCAGTTTTCACCAAACTGGATTGTAATATTTGTGTGTTCTAAGTCTATAGGAGATCAATCCTTTAAGTTAAGCAAAGAACGTATTCTTCTTAAAAGTTTATCTATAACGATGTTGAATATGCATATGAGGACGATGGGCAGCCTCCACAGAAGCACTTAAAGTTTTTGGTTCTCATGAAACTTCACCGTAAGCTTTGATTTAGCCCATATCTGGAATGTGAACTCACTAGCGAAGTTACTAATTCATTGAAGTATCTTGGGCATTCGTATGTAATAACACGCATATTTTCACCAGTATTTAAATAAGCTTGTTCTACTGTTCATTGATTTTTGTTAATGCGAATATCTCTGTCACTAATGTAATAACTTGGGTGTAATTTCAAATTTTATCTATTTATTTTTCATTGTAGAAATGGATCATTGGACAGATACGTGAAAGTGTACGTCCAATTCATCCATTGCTACCAGAATTATTAGAAGCACATATTACGCATTCGTTTACTTCCAATTCTAACAATTCATCGTCATTGAATAGTGATATTCCTAGTATTATTGGTACTACTACTAGTAGTAGTATTAGTAGCAGTACTATTACTACCAATCCTACTGCTTCAACAGCTTATATCAACTTATCATTAATTTCTGAACAGGAATTAATCAATGAATTCACAAATTCTAAATCTTCTAATTTGATTCAATTTTGTGCACCAGGGATTCATTTACAATCGAAAATTAATCATAAATCTGTAAATCGTTTATATATTTCAACTACAGAACAAGATTTTACTCCGCAATTATTATTTTTATATTATGCATTTTTTGTTTTCGATTATCAGTTCAATTTACGTTTAACATCTAATCGACGTAAGTTTATTAAAACATCACATTATGCTATATCACTGCTTCCATTGATTATGCAATGAAATTTTTTTACTGGCTTTTTATTACCGACTCAAACTACCATTTAAATGTGTATAGTTTATGTAAGACATTCATTTTGTGATTTAGTTTATACATTTTATTACTTCATTTAGATATTCTCTAGAATCTGTTGAGGACTGTGAATACATGTTATCTAGTTCAAGACAGAATTTCGAAAGGGAACAACCGGTGACTTTTGCATAACTCAGTACCCTGGTGGAAGAATCTAGCGTCTCCTTTTTTTATTGGGATTAATCTGTGGGTTAGCAGATATGGCCGATAAAATGATGGAAATCCATCCGGATAATCATAGCTTAAACTCAGTATGAACTGCAGCACCAACGGATAAAGGTAGTACAGCCATGTTCCAACAACAACAATAACAATTAACGGAACTGGCAAACAAACTATCAGAATTACAAGTGACAACAGCCACGATACAAACCAATCGATACAGATCATCGGCTAGGCAAAGATCCTTTTCAAGGCAGCGTCCACGGTCACTTGAACAAACCACCGGGATCTGTTGGTGCCACTGAAAATACGTCACAAAAGCTCGTTGTTGCACACGACCGTGCGCGTTTACACCAACCAATAACAAGAAATCGAAAAACTTGCCGGCTAGGCAGTAATGGCAACACCTGTTACTGGCCACAACACTAGCCGTCTTTTTCATATCCGGAATTGTATTTCTGGCTCAGACGTTTTTGGTCGAAACAGGAGCGGAAATCAGCATAATCTCACTTCAACTTTCACGACGACGGCCCACCATGAGTAACAAATTGGAGCAATCCCTCATTTTGGACCTCGAACTCCGAAGACGACTCACGTGAGTTTTTATGGTTGCCAAGGTCAAACAACCTATTCTTGGAGCCGACTTTCTCAGCGCTTATGACCTGCTAATAGACATGAATAAAAAGAAGCTGATCGACAAGAATACACGTTTACAGGTGAATGGCACAATCACTACCAACTGTGAGATTCACGGTGTTCGAATAATAAAACCATTGAACAAAGCTTCCACCGACGTCTTGTCGAAGTACGAATGCATCACAAGAGTTGATTATCAAAATGAACGCACCTTACATCATGTCCAACACCACATTACTATCACTGGTCCACCTATACACGCTAAGTCGAGATGACTACCACCACACAAATTACAGATTTTGAAGAGAGAATTCGAACATATGATGCAACTAGGCATAATCAGGCAGTCTAGTAGCCCGTGCGCTTTACCTTTACACATGGTTACCAAGAGCATATCATTAAATTCTTAAGTACTGCAACAACGAGTCAACGACATTATTAAACCTAAAGCATTTTTCTCCAAACGACTGTCGCCTGCACAGAAACGTTACAGCAGATTCGGACGGGAACTACTAGCTATTTATTTAGCAGTAAAGCACATCAAATTCGCAGACTCATCTATCATTTGCGACGCTTCAACTGGCAATAAGCGCCCCTTTTTACCAAAAGATTGTCGGCGACAGATATTTCAACATTTACACAAACTTCTACACCCGGGAATCCGAGTCACCACAAAACTCATCACGGAACGTTTCGTCTGATTATAAGTGCAATAATGTAGTTGACTCGTTGTTGCAGTACTTAATAACTCAAATAAACCAAAAGGTGTGATAATGGCTGTTTTTTTTTCAATATATCCCGGTGCCTTCGGAATTTGATGATATGCTCTCACAAGGTCTAGTTTAGAAAAAATTTGCATTCCGTGTAGATCCTAAGAAAAGTCGCGTAGATGAGGAATTGGATATCTGTCTGGAGTAGTTTGATTCTTTAAGCGTCGATAATCTCCACATGGGCGCCAGTCCTGATCTTTTTTGGTAACCATTTGTAAAGGCGAAGCACATGGGTTACTAGACTGCCTGATGATGCCTAGTTGCATCATATGTTCGAATTCTCTCTTCAAAATCTGTAATTTGTGTGGTGGTAGTCATCTTGACTTAGCATGTATAGGTGGACCAGTAATAGTAATGTGGTGTTCCGTTAGTTGTTTTTATTTTTGGAGCTGTACTACCTTTACCCGTTGGTGCTGCAGTTTGTACTGAGTGTAAACTATGATTATCCGGATTGATTTCCATCATTCCATTGGCCATATCCGCTAACTCCTCTAAAGTAACTGAATGTTCTGATAGGCTAAAAATTTGTCTTACGTTATGTGATAGACATTGGAACGACATTTGTTTTACAAGAGGTTCTTCTAGTTTGTGTGGCTCTGCTAATTATTTCACATGCCTTAACAGTTGTGATGGTTTTTTGTCTCCTAATTCACATGATCTTAACAATTGTTGTAATCTTTTTTCGTCGGAGACTGACGTGCGTTTTATAACAGCGGCTTTTATTTTGTCATATGGGTCGCTCTCTGACACTTGATCAATCAGATCCCCGAATTCGGAAGCGATTTCTATGGGGACTGCGCCAACTACGTGAGCATATTTTGTTGCCCTCGAGCGTATTCCTTTAGCTATGAATAAGGTCTCTACTTGGGCAAACCAGACTCCCAACTCCATATGCTTGGGATTTGAATTCATAGATAGTATTAACTGAACTTAAAATAGTGTCAGCAGACTTTGATAATGAATTGAGGGCATTTATTGGAGAACCGTCTTTAAGTTTTTTTGGAGAGTACATTACACAAAAAAATAAACCAACGGGTCAGGTAAAAATGGGTAACATAGCGTTTATAATAAACTCAGTGCTCACCGGATAATTTTGGTGGATCAAAAAGTATATTACCTCAAAAATGACAATAAAGTTATTACATCCAAATGTTAATGTTATAATATACCAATTATAGGTTATAAACACAAATAAAAGTTAAAGGATGTTACTTAAATCGGCAGGTTTGTGCGTGTCCGAGTTGCTTTTGGTACCAGAATCCACAATTATAGATAATTAATAATTCCAATGAGGTTGTCTAGGTTCCAGTAATATAGCCAGGTGTAGAATATAATGGAAATGTGACTGCAGTCTATAAATGTAGATGACAGATATTTCAAAGTTCAGCTATCATAACTACAGGCAATGGAGAACGAGAGACATGTGTATAGTGTATTTACGAGCAGTTAACAACGCGTGTCATGCTATGAGTAATACAAAACGGAAGAATGTGAGTTCAGGGTCATACACTTAACATGTGCAATCATTTTAGGCTAAATGTGCAAACTGTAAAATTTAACAAAATAACATCAAATAACATCAAAAACTATTTACAAAATAAGTTTGTCGTGCCTATCTCTACACCCCGAGCCTTCGACCTAACGGTCTAATCCACAAAGCAATGGAGCAACGTAAGGACATGCATTCCCATATTTGCAGGTGACCAACAATAGGTTCATACGCCATTTTTTTCTTTAGGATCCTGGCGCCCATATACACCATTGGTTTGGAATCACGGTTTTCCAACTCCCCTAATTGTACTCTCCGTGTCCAGCAATCCGGTTAAAGCGTCGTGCATACGTCTTTCGTCCTCTCAATTTCGTAGACAACATTGCCTCGAAGTGTTAACAAGTTTTTTAAGGTTATATTGTGTACTGCACAATATTCATTGTTGAATTTGTAAGTTAAGACCTCATGAACATATGTTTCTGTAAAAACCACAAAATTATTTGTAGATTTAGGGTTGTTTTTGCATTCAATTTTGACTTTTTCGTCAAGGTTAAACTAGTCGATAACACGTATCACAGAGTAACTATGTGCAAAAATTGTTCATTTGATATAAATGTTTTTTCCAAAGTAAATATATCCAAACTGATAGATTGTACCTTCGATCTGTTTTCATACTTCAGCTACTAGTTCTTGCATAAACAATACTATTCAGGGTCGAATACATACATTAAAAGTGCCATATTATTGACTATTGTAGTCTATTTATCTTAATTAGACAACCATTGAAAACACTGGTCTACTGCTTCGTCTTATTACGTGATTCCTTATATTAATGATGATCATGTGTTCACAAATAATTAGTCTGGAGAGGTAGTTCCTGGAGTTTTGGTGTGAAACTGTGACCAAGGTGGCTCAAACATATCGAGTACGAGTCACTTATTCTGCCATGCTTTTAAGAAATGGTAGTTCAGTATCGCGAATTGATTGAAATTAGACATGTAAACCGTTGGATTTGTAGACCAAGTGGTTTAAAAGTTAATCACATGTCGCGTTACCTGAAGTTTCTCGATTCGATCTCCTATGTGATCGTGGGCTCACATTGTTGAGTATTTCTATACTAAGAAAAAACAACCATTCTGAGTTCAACAAACTCCATTGTTTTAATTCGTTTTCTTTTTTTTATTTGCTGTGCCTATATTCATATATTTATTATTAACACAGATCGTTTACCTAATGAACCATCATGTGTTTATTCCAATAAACTATGGGATATTATACCTATAACATATCTTTTACGATATGCTCGTGCACATTTATCAGATTATCGCTCCCTATATCCGAAATTATTACAGTAAGTTATTGTTATCTTAAACATATTTCCTCTTTCCTATTAATGATTCGATTTTGCTTGATTTACTGAAAGAAATTGATAGGAACGATGACAAATTAGGTAATTCGTAACTAGACTAAACCATCTTTTATATATATCAGTGTTGTTGGTATGTTTTCTAAACGTACTATAACCTTTAGTCATAATTTCTAATATCTTATTTATCACTTCTAAGCTTTATCCAATTAGTCTATATTTTGAGGTGAGTATTGCGTAATCTGTCCTGGATTATTTGTAATATTTAATCTATAAATAAGCGGATGTTTGAATAATGTTACTTCTTCCATATTATTGTTGTTACGATCATAATTATCACTACCGTTTCTAGGCTTATTATCCACCTATTCCTTTCCCAGTAGAGTACTATTAAGTTTTTTCATTAGGCAATGGTTGTGCTGTCGTTGTCAATGCTATCTGGGTAACCAAAAATAGTAGAATTAGATGGGTTAGACATTAACACCGCTGGATGACAGCTCAGTGGTTAAGAGATCCAGTGTTCTCACTCGAAACCGAATGTCCTGGGTTCGAGTCCCGTATGTGGGATTGTGGTTGTGCACCTCTGAAAAATCCCGTACCAGGACGAAACGGTCGTCTAGTGCTTTTAGGTTTTCAACGGTGGTCTAACACTAGTCGGTTCATGATCTGAATCAAAACTCAACAATCTCCACAATCCTATACTGATAAAAATAGAAGTCATTAGCAGTCATTGTGTTCTGATGATTGCATCCTTCTTTCTAATACCTCTTTATCCAATATTTTTTATGCTTCTTGAATGTAATGATAATCGCTCAATGCATTCTATTCTGTTCGATGATCTTCTGATTGTGTGTGTGTGTGTGTGTGTGTAATAAGACCAACTTATGTTCACGCGAATTTCTCTCATATTTATTACCAGTTCTTTCTAAATAATGGATCAATGTCTGAACGGAAAACGAATAAAGAAATTAACATAAATGGATACAAACATTTCTTAATCCTTGTATCAGATTACGAATATATATATATATATATGCTCTATTAAATTTTCTTGTCAGATGTGTTAGTTGACACTTATCGGAACGGTGTGCTCGCGATCTTGAGGAAACTGATGCTCCCTGTATGATTCAAACTTGGGTTACCCAGCTTAACATTCTGAGAATTTACCACTAAGCTATTTAGGCCCCGACTGACCTCCTATAGGACTGACATGTTTGCAACTGATTAATCACTGAATGTCGACTGACGTCATTTCTAATGTTGATTGTATGATATATCGATCAAGTTACAATCTAAAGTATTTTTTAAATCTTTGAATCTCATTTCTCATTTAGATGCTTTCGTTTTTTTCCGATCTTGAAAAATATATTCAGTAACAATAAAGCTCTCTCATTCATATGGAACAATGATGATATTGATACTTCACATTCAACAATCATCTTTTAGAATCTTAGTCTTCTGGGTATACCTATGGACAGAACTTTTCCACAAGAGATTTTTGAATGGACAATCTGAGTGTTATTTATTTTAATTTTCTTGTGAATTTTTAGTCCAATACAATTGCGTTGATGATTTTCCCGTTGCAAAAATTCCTTCTGATTATCAAAACATAACTGTCCCTCTAAGTTAATGATAATCGTTGTTTAACCATTTATAAGTAGGCACTTTCACCCATATTTTATTATTATTATTATCATCAGCTTTATTCAATATTATATTTTTGGTACAATATAGAATTTTCAGCGTAAAGTATTTCAACAAGTTTCCGTTTCTTTCTTCTTGGTCGGTCCTGGCGATAAAAATTGAGTGATCGCTAGTTAGATGTTAGCAGTCCAGTAAATGAACATCTGAATAATGTGCATTCTTTTCGCTGTATATTGCCAGCAACCACATTGTCTGTTATTGAGTTTTTTGTAACTTTGACAACGAAAGGTTGTACACTTTTCAGAAACGCAGCAGAATAGGTTATGCGATTAATAAACATAGTGATATATTAAAACAAACAAAAATAGATAACTTGTTGAAATATCTAGATGGCAGGAACAGGTAGCCCAGATGCTCAGGCAGGCTGCTCTTTATATAAATAAATACATCTCAAGTTAGGTAAGGGACATTTGATTATCTGGGATTCTGTTGGTTTATTCACATTTGTTTAAATTACAAATGCCAAGAGACTATAGATAATCAGGAGAAGAAATATTAACTTATCATTAATCAGTCAGATATAATATATTTGTCATAATCCAGTATTTCAACAATTTATATTCGCACAGTGATAATAATTGTGGTGAAAAAGTGTTATATTAAATTTTCGTTTACATACAATTTTATGATTAATTAGTTATGTTCTGGTCACATATTTCATTTTACTTCCTGATCGATATGTCACATTCTATTGACAATTTGAACTTATAATCCATTAAATTTTCATATATAGTGCATCATTTACTTGTTTGTCATAAGTTATTTATTGGATTCATGGTATGGTGTGTGCTACTGATGTAGACAGATATAAATAGTGTGTATCACCAATTGAAAGTGTAATGTCTGATGTCAGAAGGTTGAGAAAATCGAAGAGAAGAGAACTAGAACAGAGAGTGATTGATGGGGAAAAGGAGGAACAACAAGGTCAGGGACAATTAGTGGACACTTTGCGAATGAATTTTTACTGTATGTTTCTCAGATTTTAGTAACAGGTTCTGTAGTTTTCTGCTCAAATACATTTGGTTTTCCCCACTGGTGTTCTCATCCCCTACAATGGCTATCGAAACCTACATTGGTTTTTTATATTATTAGTGGAATTGTGAAAAGGAAAAATCTCACTAACTGATTTAATAAAACAATGTAGTCCTTCAACAGATTCGTTCGTTACATTCCAAAGAAATTCACTGAAGATGAATAAGTGTTGATATAACAAATAATCCAAAACAAATGTCAAAATGAACTTTTCATCCATGTAAAGAAGGAATTGTATTTGTGTACCCGAGCGATTTATTCTAGTCCATGCCATTAAAGTATATATGTTTTTCTGAATAAACGATTTATTTATTTCAATCCAGATTGCTGTATAACTCTAGTCAACTTTGTAATGGTTATTTCAATGATTCAGAAATATCTTTTATGCCCTCTTTTAAAGATAAAAACAGTATGGAAGACTAAATCAACTTGCGATAAAAAAACTACACAAGTTTTCGCATAAAATTAAAAGATGAATGACTTTTGTCTTTTATTACACCAAATGATCTATCCTTGATCAATGCTAGACCACCATTGAAAACCTAGAGGCAATGGACGGCCATTTCGACCTTGTTGGGAACTCTCCAGCATTGCGAATCCAAGATTTCTCACATGGAAGTGGAACCTAAGACCTTCGGTCTCGTGTGAATACTTGACCTCTAGACCACTTGACCGGAATCCAACGATGTTTAAGACCATCCCTGCTTCGGTTTGAGCGCTTGGACAGTATCCCAGCCTTTAAACAAATCGAATGATTTGTGTTGTGCATATCTATTTGATACCTTGTACCAATCATTAATAGGCGATCGTTTTGTTTTTATAAAGACTTTCATGTTATATCTCTTAATTTATATATATTTGTTTGTCCAGATTGGTTACAAATCATTTTCCGCATTTAACTATGGGTGAAATGATGATACAAGATGAATTATTACTTGATTCAATATGGAGATCTGAACACGAACCTATTCGTGTTCTTTGTATTAATAAAGCTGAAATGAATTTATCACCGGGGAATAATACAACAACAATTGTAACATCGAGAGTAATGACGAACCAAACAAATTTTGTTTATCAACAATCGAATTATCCTTTGCCGTTCCGTGAAGAACAATTAAATCAAGGTTAGCCTTTTTTGCATTATTTTCCAACTTTGTTTTCGATGCTGTATGAGGTATGAGATTGGTTGTCGTGGTTGATCATATCGTGGATAGGTACTTCTTTATAAAGTACCTGGAAAGAAAACTGAGTTAGGGAGTGGTTCTGATGATTTAGGAGTATAACCAAAGACCCCAAGGAATAAATTCTTGGGGTCAGTCAAATATGCCCCTTTTGTGAGTAGTTCTATGTTTGTTATCTCTCTACTTTTTAAAACCTACCACTGAGAATGGGAATCCTCGGAGTAAGGTTATGTTTGCAATCATTAAGGGGGACCTTTTCTAACCTCTTCCTTATGTTGTGAGGTGGCAGGATTTCTGAGGATGTTGTTGGTCATCTGAGGGAAGCATCTTATTACTGCCACACCCTTGTACAGTTTCCACTACAATATTGGCTTCAATCCTTAAGTGCCTGCTTTTAAACTTACGTCCCTCCAACCAACATACCTACCTCGATAAGACCTGAAGGAACGAGTGTTCTAGGCAGCATAACTTTATCGGGTCACCACAATACTCAAACCTATCCACCACCTCATGATTTTTGCTACGGTCGCGTTTTTATCTGACTGAAATTTTACAGGTTATTTTTCGTTATATCTCAGCGTAATCGAACTAGCCGGTTAAATGTACAAATGCTAATTTGGAAGTTCGTTCATTTGATATTGATGTTTTTTATTTATTTTTCAAATCACTTATTCATGTGACTTCAGATTGTTTATATGTTTTGAAACCTAGATGTTGGAATTTCTGATTGTTTGTTTCAAATCGAATCACTTTTGAGTACTAAAATTCATGATGATAATTGAATTATGAACTATTGTAACCATTCTGTGATTCACTTAATAGTAATGCTACAAAACATGGTATACGTTGTAGTTGTGTTTTTTTTTTGGAATCATTTGAAATCAAACCCTCAAATCAATTTGATTACTTATTTTCTAGTATAATAATTATATTGATTTTCATAAATGTTTCTCAATGTTTTCTTGTGACTTCTTAGTTGACATATATGATCTTTCGTTGTTATTTTAGTATGACAGCTATTTTTAATTGATTCATTCAACTTCAAGTTATTGTGATGAAGTAAGCTCAGTAGCTGTGTATTAGAGACTAAATGTACTAAAAACGTAATTCTCATCAATAGCTGAAATTGACTGGTGAACTGTTAGAACATATATGGCGTATGCTTATCCAACCCTCAACTTGACAGGCGATGTCTTCTGGTGGACCTGGCTTCGTGCTGGGCTGTATGTACCCTGGCTCGGTGGTTATTACCCTGGGCTCCAGTGGTTGGGATAATGCCAGATGCGGTTAGACTAAAACGTATCATCAGTACACAAGATCATTAACCGTTGATCTGAATCATGTTGTTTAGATCCACGCGATTATCCTAATCAGTAGCTGGAGACATTATTTAACATGGTTCCGAATAGTTCACAATGATGTAAACGCATCTACTCTTTGTCTTTCCTCTAGAACCGATGCACTTATGTGATAGCTTCTACGTTATATGTAACCGACTAACTGAAAATCATCATTGTTAAGGACTGTTGAATAGCTCCAAATTAGGATTTAGTAAGCGCTTATCATTTACATTGGCAACTTAGTTGACACCAATCCAGGATATGGATATCACTTTCAAATTACTCAAAGTTCTCAGAAAATCACAGAGGGCAATTATAACCGTTCATTCACTGGTGAATAGGTTTGTGGTGCGTTTTTAAGTGGTTTAAGTGGTTGACAGTAACTCATCGATGCACGGCATTTCTGAGTGTGGTGACTAACCTATGAGTATAGTCTATTCGTTAACTCTTAGAAATATTCATCAATATATCCTGTAAATAATTACATTAAATGATACAATATTAATTCTATCAGTTGTATAATCATACATAAAATAATGAAATATATTACAATCTTAAAGCTTTTATTTAGTTTCTATTAAATGATTATAATTTTAATAACTAACTAACATCAGTATTAGAATCATCAAAGTCTATAAGTCAGTGAACAGACGTTTTTGGTTCTAGTTCGAAAACACAATACATCAACGACCGTATACGAGCTGGCTAGTGTTTTTTTTTTTAAAATCAAGTTATACTATAGTATATTAAAGTATGTAGTCAGCTGTAGGATCTAGAACATCTATTTCATCCAATTCGAAACTTGTTGACTGGATATATGTCCACCCTAGTGTCGATGTTCACATTGAAATGTCATTCAAACTGCTTAAGATACAAATATAACAGCAGAAAATGATCAGAAAAATAGTTTTAAATATTTACAACGGAAAGTTACAAATCCTGGCATAGAGTTCAAAGTGTAGTAATGTTAATTGCACTTCATGTTATGTATAAATCAGTTTTTTGTTCTTCTATTTTTCTTTACTTAATTATCAAGTTTACTTATCACTTATTGTATATGCTTACGTTCTCTTCTCCTTTTCTTATATCCCATCACTTATCATACTGATATTTATAAATGGTAGGCGTGTGTTCCATTTCTATAAATCTTTCACTCTATATATATGAATATAATTATGCTTATTCATTAGGGAAATCTTTTATTTATAAATTGTAATTCGTCGTAAAGTAAATAAGTTTACTATTAACCATCAGATAAATAAAATCTAGTCAATATTATTGTCACTACAAAAATTATTCCAACTTCTTTGACTTTGTCAACATTTGATCCTTTATTAAAACATAATCAACTATAGATGTAACCATATAACAATGAATTTTCGTATAGATATTGACATATTTTAAATTAATTTTATTTTAGTATGTAGAGATTGCACAATGCTGACTAGTGTTGGGAATGGTTGGAAAACAAGTTAGAGGTGACCAAACTAAAATGTGGCATCAGGGGTTTGAAATCACTAATTTTTAGTCTTAGCCATGTTGATAGATGCAGACTAATTGATTGGGGTCCATGTGACTATCGTAACCAATGGTTTAAGACAGTGGATGACATGGTTCAGAATCGATCACAATAGCGTAGACGTATACACTCTTTGCCTTCCCTTAAACGGTAAAATTAAAATTATTTCATATTTTTCTTTGTACGAACTAATTCTTTTTTCCTGTACTATGTCATTGTATGCAATCTTTCTTTTATATATTACCACCAATCAATAAACCGCTTCTATGAATTTGGTGTTCATCTTGTTGTGTTAATGAGGTATGGCAACTTGAACCGATGCACATATGTGTCTGGTCCTGCGTTGTGACTGACTGATGTAGAGATTGATAATATCTGGTATATTTCATCTTGGAAAGTTTTATAACTGATAGTACATTACATGAATCTTTGTTCAATGAAGAGTACAATGCATAGGTTCACACGATCTCTCTCTCTGTGTGTTTTTTATAGAAGTAAAATGGCACCATGAAGTTAGCAATGTGAATGTTTACAGTATAAAAATGACTGAAAAATGCTAAACTAATTTAGTAAATAATAAGCTTTCACCCATTGAATTTGTTGAAATACATTCTGCTGAATCATTTCACCAGTTCATTAATTGATTGAAGCAAAATAAAACGACATTTTTTGTAATCCACGATTGAGTAGTATCGATAGTAAAATCATCTATCGTCAATAAAGAAAATCATTCATTTTGACTTTTAGGTAAAAAAATTTTCATTTTTGTATTGGTTGTTTGAATCTTTTTATTAATGTTTAGGACTTCAATTGATCAACTCTGCCTATATTACTTGTGATTTAAGACAGTATCGTGGCAATCCACATAGGATGCACATTTGCCAATAAGAGACATATCAATTGTGGTCCTAAACATCAATAAGAAGATTCAAATAACCAACACAAAAATGAATTAGACCATCCCATTGCACAAGCTAGTGGGTATGTGGACTCAGTAGCTAAGCTTATAACACGATGGAGTTTGAAGCGAACGGTACCGGGTTCTTGTCTCAAAGCGAACATCAACTCTGAAATGCAGGTGCATTCAGCTGAAGAGCCCCAAAATAGGACGAAACGCCCGTCGTGGATTCCTCTACTAGTCACCATCTTTGTTTTTATTCAGGTTAACTGATCAACATCTGATCTCATTTGATAGTGATCATTATCAAAAAAAGAATAAATACTTAAACTTAAATTCTGATTCATTGTAGTCACTTACTTAGTGAAAAATTTCTTCAATTTCCAATTCAACGCTTCTTAGAAGCATCAATCAGTTTGATGTAAAACACGCTATTTAACACTGGTTATCATGTACGATAGTGTCCATTCACTTGATCGATTTTTATTTAGTTTATTTCTAATCCCTAAATACCTTTATATGCGATTATGGGCCACTTATTGTTATTCCTTCCTGTATATCAGGTCAAAATGAAACATTCCTTCTTTTTTCTCTTTTTCTTACTCTGTTGGTTTTTGTAATATAATAGATATATATATAACCGTTATTTCGTGTTTCCTCGATTTCACTATATAAATTTACACACGTTTACAAAGGTTTTTAAACTTCGTGTAGAGTAGTCAAAGTGACATGTATTTGTCAAGGTCATGTTTTATATTTATGCATCTATATTTTCTTTTTAAATAAATAAATAGAATAGAATAGTAGATACATTCTATAGACTGTATATTGTTGATTATTTTTCCTGTATAACATTTATAATAATAAAAGTATTGTGGAAGTGAACTTTATTTGACAATTATGTTGTCAAATTTTATGTTTTCTTACTAAAGAATCTCAGTCTTGCTTGTACTGTACTGATTATTTAAAATTATGTATAACAAATATATATATATATATATATATATATATATATATATATATATATATATATATATATATATTGATGTTGTAAACTCTTTATTCTTGGATATGGAGATTTGCTTAAGAGATGTTCTTTGACAAGTGTTGTATTGACTCAAATATAGATGGCTAAGTAAAAATGTCAGACCATAGTTATTCACTGTTCCAGATTTGCCTTTTCATTTTTGCGTTTAGAACTATATTCTCATTGTCATTACTATATGTTTGTTTGTTTTTTACCTTGTCAATTTCATCTTGTCGTTCTAATGTATTATGTTACCGTGGGTCAACGCAAATTTGTGCTTGACTTGACGTTAGTTATCTGACTGACTGTTTTATTTAATCTCCGTATAGAGCAGTAGTTTTTTTGGTGAGTTGTCTTTCTAAAGCATGGTTGCACTTATAATAATTAGCCTTTATTTAACTCTAATGTCTTTCTTTTTGTTTTACTCTCTTGTGTTTACCAAACATGTAAATAATAATATTTATCTAGCATTTGAACAAGTAATTTCAAAACTATCAATATCTATTGAACAGCCAACAACATTGAATAATCTGTTTGAAACATGTCCATTATGGAAAAATCTTATTTATATGATTAATCAATTGATACAATCAATAGAGATATTCGGTTTAGATTGTTTATTAAATTTTGGTCCAATCTTAGCTGAACAATGTCCAAGACTACTATTATTACAAGGTAATGGTGGATTTTTAAGCGTTAATCGTAAATTTGTACATTCTATGGAACTTTTATGGAGACGTTTACATTTGATTATGCCAAGACGGTAAGTAAGCATCTTTTTTTCTTCTTTGAATTAGTACCTCTGCTTGTTAATGTTGTTTAATCTTCATGTATAACTAAGTAGGATAGAAGTAAATGTATTGATTTACATGTAATTTCCATTCAGTTAATTTTTGTATGAATTCAATGTAATTTTTGTTCTGCATAAAATTCAATTTAATTTTTCGTTTATTCAAAATAATATTTATTTGTATTCATTTTTATGTAAAGCTTATTCAGTATGACATTTTCTTTAACTCAGAATCGTTTAATTTAGGCTTTACACAATGAAATGAGTTGTAATACTAATTGTGATGGTTTTAGATCTCTGTATTCCATAATGCTATAAAGCAAGTTTGAACTTCTTTATGGAGTTAACGGGCAAGGAATGAGTTTCGTTCATTGTTATCGAAGTTAGAATGAGAAATGATATGGTTAGCTCACAGACGTGTTATTTTTATTGTCTACCTAGTTTTTGTTTCCATCCATGATTGATCATTTTTAAATATAATACTTTAGTCTTTGTTTTGTTACTTTTCTTCAGCTGTATTGGATAGGTTATTGAATTTGATGTACAAGTAGTTCATATATTAATGTATGAGGAGTGTATTTTTTTCAGTCAGGTATTTTATGTAGTCACGTTTTAAGAAGGAATAGTTTCATAACTATATTTGTATCTTCAGCATGGTGTTATTGAATTTCTTTGAAATCACGAATCGAACCAAGTTAGACCACCATTGAAGACCTGGAAGCGCTAGACGGCCATTCCATCCTAGTACGGGACTCCTCAACAGTGTGCATCCACACGCAAGAATGGGATTCAGAGCCCTCTATCTCTCGTGCAAACGATTAATCTCTGTTGGTTATAGCTATTTCATTTCATAGTATTGTAAATTTTTATTAATACACTAAATTAATTAATCTTAAAGAATATCCAGTTCAATTAATTCAAAAGCATATACAGCCATTCCCAAGGAAGTCCTACTCACTTCGTTCTCCCATCGCAGGTGTTTTTTTACGAGATTTAGAGGACGAAAGTGAATGTTTGGTGCCTTAGCCGGGTTGGTGGATGCAGAGTACACACCTAGGAGAATTGAAAAATCCTGATTCCAAACCAATAATTCACATGGTCTCCAGGATCCTGAGGGAACAAATAGCGTATGAACACATTGTTGATCACTGGCTACCATAGGACTAAGTCTTCTAACCTTGTTCCATTGCCTTGTGGACATTCAGACAATTCCTACTCACAATTACTTGATAACATTCGTTTTTATTTCTTTCATAGTATGTCGCTTATTTACTCTCTTTAATTCTCACTTTGTATATTCATAGTGAAAACCCTGTTCTATCTAAACGATCTCGAGTCACCGACTGGTTGAAAGTTAAATGCTACCACCGAATATGAATACTGAAACAGTTTTTCTGAAGCCACATGCACCATTCAAACTGGCTTCCTTCAATGTTTGCACACTTATGCAGATCGGACAACAGATAATATTGGCTCTGTCTTTAGAAAGTCATAATATCGACGTCTGTTGTCTATCTGAGACCCATATTCAAGACTCTAATGAAGTACTACAAATTCGCTCTCCATCTGCCGCTTCGAAAAGCTTGTTCTACATGCGTTTATCCAGAAGCCCTGTAGCATCTTCTTCTGGATTTGCTGGTGTTGGTGTTGCACTAAGCGCTAGAGCTGAGGCTGCACTGATCGATTTAATCTCCATTAACAGTCACTTATGTGTTGTTAGATTAGAAAGTTCCATCAAAGTGAGAAATCTGTGTGAGAAACGATGTTTTTTCCTCATCTCCGCCTATAATCCGACAAATTGCAGCTCGGATGCTTTCAAGGATGAGTTTTACCACCAATTGACAGTTCTTCAGAAAGTGCGTTCGACAGATATTGTAGTACTAGCCGGAGTCTTGGATGCTCAGATCGCGCGTCTAGGCACAGAAGAGAGTCGTTTAGGTGGCCGATGGGGACTTGTTGGTCGCAGGTCAGATAATGGGGACCGTCTACTGCAACTGCACAGACCACAACCTGTTTCTGGTTAGCACTAACTTCCGCCACAGTCATCGCCGATATGCCACCTGGCGTCCTCCCTCTGTATCCCAAGCCTGGACTCAGATTGACCACATCGCGATCAGCTTCCGCTGGCGTGGTTGTATACAAGACTGCCGGTAGCGGAACAGATTAGGTATAGAAAATATGTTTCGAGAAAATATAGGTTCGTAAATCACAAAACGCAAAAATTATCAAGCAACTTAGGATCTAAAGGAAAACAAAGAGTAAAAATATATCTGCGTCATTACAAATACATATGAACCATGCCACTCAAAGTAGCCAACTATTAGTCACGATAATCTTGTGGATCTCAATTAGGTATGATTTCCTGTAGCTAATGCTAATTTTCCGCAGGTTATGTTCATATTTTCATCTTGCTCAGGTCTTTTCGATTTCGTCCACGTTACTCCGCTATATATGCATATTTAGTTGCATAATTTTGACGATTCATTGATTTGTCAGTAAATTCTTAATATATCCATATTTTCACTGATTTAAATCATGAGTCAGTTGAAGCTAGACCACCATTGAAAACCTGGAAGCACTGGACGGCCGTTTCGTCCTAGTATGGGACTCCTCAGCAGTGCGCATCCACTGCTGAGGAGTCCCATACTAGGACGAAACGGCCGTCCAGTGCTTCCAGGTTTTCAATGGTGGTCTAGCTTCAACTGACTCATGATTTAAATCAGTGAAAATTTCTAAAATCTCCACAAAACCCCTTCTGATAATATCCATATTTCTCAAGAGTTGTTTGTGTGCTCCCATCTTCACTATAAACCCGTTAAGTTTTAATTCACTGATGATAATTTCCTAATTTTTATGTCAATTTATTTTATTTTTTCTTAAAATTCCTAGTAGATTATCACATATTCTCCAGCGCATCTCAACAATGTTCATCACAGAGACTAAATTTTGATGATTGTTGTTTCTTAAGTATTCTTAATTTCTTTTTTTGCACTCTTAGAATTTAAGGCTGTTTTCTAGGTGTTGGTTACTTCCTATATATTTTCATTATTGGTGGTTGGTTTTAAAAAGATACATGAGTTAGGAGGATTTTTATAGGCTTGCCAAATAACATGTAACTATTGATTCACGTTTCCTATCGTTGTTGATAGAAATAAATGATGAAAAAGTTACAGTGAAATTGCTTTGTTTGATTTAATTTCATCACTGTTCACAATGTTCTAATTTACAAATTTAACATAGCTAAGGCGTTGAAAAAAATCAATCCTCAATACGAAATAGATGCTAAAAAAATATTCTACATCATGCGTTAAACAAAATAATAGTAGACTAGGAATTCTAGATTACGATACTAAATGAGACATTATACTAGATCATGTGCTACTTACCAACATAATGTTTGACCGATCATTAGATTATACCGACAGCATAACTTGTTCATTTCAAGTATACTCAGTCATACGGCGTGAAATCCAACAGTGAAATCACTCTTTTACACTTAACAATGAATCATAAGTTAGTTTAGATAGAGAAGCTTGTCTATTACCATATGTTACTTTCATTGACCGCACATAACAGATATTGTCATTTTTATCATTGCTCCATTAGTCGTTCCTTGATAACAGCATAATTGGTTGTTGATGGTATACATCATTTGAACTGGTACTTCATAATTCGTAATGAAACTCTCCAATTTACTGAATATGTATCTAAAAGATTGTTCTAGTTTCATATACGAAATTTGTGGTATTGAATAACTGCACAAATGAGTTAGTTAAGAATTTTTCCTGACTCTTATGCTTTTTGATAATGAAAACTAGAATCTTGGATAAATAGTCACTGTATGTGTAACGATACGTCAAATAATCCGCTATATTGATGCATCAATGTTTGTTCTTGCTCTATTCAAATTCATAAAGGGAACCAATTGCATGAAATCCGCTATATATTTTTGATTTTATTTAATCCTGTGTATCATACTGTGAAATCTATATTGTAATATTTATCGAAATTATTTGATTCACTCCTTGTCAATAATCTCACCTCTGCTTCTACTTATCTCTGATCTGATACATTCATTTTTATTCTTCATCTTCTGAAATTCGCATTGATAATGTATTATCCGAGGTTCACTTTCACATGTTGAGCAATCCCTTCCTCCATTCCACGAAAATATGCTCATCTACATGTTTTTTACAATAGTAATGGATTTTAATATTAATTAGCTAGGGGATTGATTTATTTCACCTACTATTCCAAAGAAAATGGAAGATTTTTAATCCTTAAGAATCATAAGTAAAATGTTCCTGCATATCTCTGGAAAAATTTTCTATCCTGTTGTATTCATATTAATTTCTAATCTTATAATTCAATTTGTTATTGTTGGGCTTTGCAGCTTTCATCCAATTTAAATAGAATTACTAGTATTTGTTTATAGATTCCTTCGAAGTATTGCTCGTATATATTGGGACCATTAAGTAAACTATGTTGAGTCTAAACACAAGTACTAAATGAAGATATTGAACCAGTTGATGAGGTAACGAATCGTCATCGATTGAGAGGGTTGAGACATGTATTGTGTGCCTCCAAACACTACCTACTTCAACAGGCCATGATGTGTAGTTTCACAGCAATTCGGAAAAGAGATAGAAGAGACCAAATAAAGACAGTATCGGTCCATGAATTCGTTGATTGTTAGACTTAAGCTGTGTAAGTACTTACAAGCTACATTATTGAGGTCCTCTCGATTATCGTATTCACTTGGTCCCGAATTTGGTAATATTGTTCAAAATTGGTTACATTGGCTAATATGCACTCACTTTTAGCCTATCCTTTAAATGTTGAGTTTTAAATTTACCTTACACTTTCTGTTTCTTTAATTGATATTTCCTTCTCGAAACTTTCTAAGTCTAGTCTTTTCTGCTACCACTAGTATTGTTAATATTTCTATTAGCTTGACATTTGTCTTGATAATTCTATCTCACTCTCATAGATTATTTTGCTTTTTAAATGGTTTTTCTTTTGTTATAATCTATAGTTCATAGAAACAGTTTATTTATCACCAAAGATAAAATGTTTAATGTTTACTACTTTCTTTAATAACCATTCTATGTTTATGTGTGTGTGTATGTGTATGTGCATGCACACTGGCTTGATGAGTATTGCCGAAGAGACAACCAATTCATTAATTTAATTGTCTGCAAATAATAATACTAAAGATTAAAGCAGTATGAGAAGTATTTGTTATGGTGAGAAAACAAAATGCTCAAATTATATTATGTTTCGTGTGTTTTTGTTTCATGCATTACTATTCCTCCTTTTTATTAATATTGTTTCTCCCCTTAGATAAAACATTCTCTAATATAGTAGGTATGCGAGAGAGAGAGAGAGTACACACTTGAGACACTGGCAAATGAGTTAACACTTATTATTGTTTCATATTTTCTTTTGTTTTTATTTAATTCATTTTCTCTATTCCTTATCTCTACTATTTCAACCACCATACACAATATACTACTCTGTTTAACTTTCCATCAGTAGTTTTTCTTTTTTCATTATGAATAATTTTTGTTTGATCATTGTCTTCCATCTTGACAACAAAAAAGAAGAAAAAAATCCAATCATCGATTTTCTCTGTTTCATTTTGCTCAATTGGAATTTTCCATTATTAACCCCTTTTAATCAAAAAGTATAATCGTATCTTAATAGTGTACATTATTAGTTATAGTTGATGTTTTAATTAATGGTTATGTTGCAATCATGGTTTACATTAGTTTATTTTGTTGAAGTTACATTCACAGAGTTAACGGATGTTTATTTGTGAAACTTTTTAAGAAGATAGCAACGTTTATCAGCAATACAGTTTTCAGATAAAAGTGAACAGTTAGAATTTGTTGTTTTTATTTCACAACTGATCATCATCATCATCACCTGAGAGTTGACTGAAATTTGTTATTGTTAATATTTATCCTGTGATTATTTGCATATGGATTTTAATTGTCAAAATCTTCTATATTTAAACTATGGACTGATAATATTGTCTAGAAAGATAAAGCTAACTTCACAATCAAACATCTGTCAAATTGAAGTTAATAACTTTAACAAAATTATCATTCTGAGCTACCAATCTTCTTCATCTCAAAAATATTCTATCGTTATCTTTCCTATTTTGTTTTAAAGTTAAGGTTTATGTAACTCCCAGTTAACCATGGTACAAGTAGTTTTACGTACGTAGCTGGCTTTTAGTATTTTACGTTTGTAACTGAATCTTCCATTCAGTGCTTTTTTTTCTTTGAAAGTCAAATGGTTGAACCAACAAGCAGCCACCTTTTGATCTGAATAAATGTAGATATTTGTTTAAAAGTGAAAAAGCGTGATAGCTAATAACAACGAAAATTTGTTCTGAAAATTTTGAAAACATCTGTAATCGTTTGTGCAGTAAATTAATCATTGCTTTGGTAGAGCTTGTACCAATTATGACTTGATATTAGTTTCTGTTTATTTGTATTAAACAATCGACTGATGAATAATGCATCCTACTTTTAACTGTCGGATCACATGTTCAAATCTTGTTACATACTTCATAACAAACAACGACCTTTATCACAAGCCTACGCAAACAGAATACTACTGATGATGTGGCTCGAAGCCGATTATACAAATTCGTGCTTAGTTATACACTTGTATTGATCTAAATGAATCATTTGTTGTTGGTAGGTTCGTTTCCAAATTGCACGGATGCTTTTGTTAAGCTAGATTGTAGAATAGAGTTAGCTTATCCAGTGGGTGGAACTAGGAACATGAAGATCTGAGTAATCGTGCTGAATATTAAAATAATGTTAGGAAAATAGTAGTAATGTACATTCTCGAAAAATCTTGACTAGAATTTATGCATTAATATTCTGTTATGTTTATACATATATACGCGTCATTTAAATTTGGTTAGTGACTAGCAGTGAAATACATGATACGCGTTTCATCCTATTCGAAGCTCATCAACTTAATCTAGTGTTGATGTCTACACTGAGACTCTAGCACAGCACCTTTCTCTATAAGTACTCTGTGCGTTTTCCGTTGTTCGGACTATTGGCTATGTTAACTTAGTAATTCAGCGAACCACTCGTCAGCAGTTGTTGCAAATGTTACTGCGTTCAAGTCTCAGTATTATCATCAACAGTGGGACGCAAGTACATTCAATGTGCATCTTGGATTACGCGGCTAGTCACTGTCCAACCTTGACTAAAACTTGTGACTAAATGGCAATATTTAGAAACACCATTTGGAATATATATATCAATTATAGCTCTTAACATCAACAACAGGATGATACAAACCGGCTCAAATATACACGTATTTTTAAACAGTAAAATTCTCCTTATGTATTTATTTATTTATCCATTTTGTTTTTCTATATTAGATTGGAATTAATCACTATGAATAGAATACGATCGTCTAACAATGATCCTCCAACAACATACACATCATCTGCCATGACAACAAGTATAGGTACTACAAATCCCCTTGACTTATTTATTGAAGCTAGCAATCTCATCAGTAGTCGACGAAAACCTTTGTACAGTTTAGATTTATGTACAGATCCAGTTGAAAATGTTATGAGTGAAGTAGATAGAAAAGTTTTTCGGTAAGTTAAAATATTATAATATGACAGATTATTTGTTTTTATAAGAAAATTCTCTCAAACGTAACATTTTCAAGCATGAAATTCCATTATATTCGTGTATTATATACTTTTCTATATATATTCATTGTTGAGACGAATAATAAAACCCTAATTTCAGTCATTCATGAGATAATTAGTTATTCCCTAGTTCTTTCTGTCATTTAAATTACCAATCTTTATTATGCTAATATAGCGAAATTGTATCATGTGCTGCATTTATAATGGAATGTTCAATTCATAGAGATTATCTGCAATTTTAAAATAATTTTCTATATAAACTTATATTAATTAATAAACTACTGAAATCGACTAGGAACTGAACAGTTGTTTTGTTTTAGTTAGAGACTCAGTTGGACGCAATTACGACTAGAAAATCAAATCAAATCCATTTCCTTAAAAAAAAATAGGCTATAATATCTGTAAACTACAAACTAATCAATATGTGATTCAGTGTTATTATTTAACTCTTATCCTTGTTCTCTTCTGGAATTCCTGGATAAAGCTTTGAGAATCCATCTTGGTAATAGTTTGATTTGAATTTCATATCTATGCATTACTGTCTATCTACTTTATTATACACTATCTGCCTTTTTATTTCACTATTTCTATCATTAATTACTTTAAGAAACAAACGGTTTAACACCTCATATCACATTATTAAAGTACTTCATGCATAGACGCATACTTTATCAGAATTTTCATGAGATTTATGTATATACTCAATGTTCATTTCTCTTCAGTGTTTTGTTTTTGCTTTTATGTATCATTTGAACTACATTTCAGTTGCTTTCTCAACTGTTATTTAAATTTATTTTTTTTACTTATATTTATTAGTTATGGTTTTCCGATAAATTAAGTTGGAAACATATTTTACATGTGTTAGGGGGGTTGCTTTCTGAACTAACTTACTTTTCGTTGATGTTTTAGTGAATAAATCTAAAGAAAAACTCATAGACTGGAAATCTTCGATACGAAACAAATTTCAATATGTAACAATTATTGTACTCAAAAAGTTTTGATGAATAACCGTGTTTACTGTAACTTTACAGTTTCACAGTATGACTGTTGAACTTTGATTACCGAAGATTTTCACTTGTATGTATATGCACAAATTAGATTCATTTTGTCAGCAGTGTTGAAGTAAAGCTAAGGGATAGTCACATGGAGGATCTGTGAGCCAATGTTTTCTGGAACAGTAGCCTAGTGATCAAGGCATTCGACTTTTGGTCAATAAACCAATAATCTAAACCCCCTCCACCTACTACGGTTTGGACACTATTATTAGCCTTCCTAATTGTCGTGTGGTTCATACCCAAGTTGTCCAATCTTGCCATATCTCTAAGTTTAATAGTATATACTCTAGTCCTCCTTTCGTACATATCTCACAAATTTCATGCATTTATGAAAGTTTAGGTCGGTATTAACTTTTATGTTAATGTCTTGTTAGTTGTTCATTGGTTGATGTGTCAGTTTGTAAATAGAAGATCACTGGTCATGTTTGCAATACAGGTGAACTAATCGATAATCCGACTACAGAGATCATACAACTCCTTTCATTTCATTACGGTTGTTTCATCTTTTATTCGTAGATTATTAAATATATAACAAGTCAATTAAGATCACTCTAAAATGAAGTTCAACCATTAGTCTTAATAATTATAAACTGTCCTAGATCAATAGTATTTTAAGTGTTAGGATATTTATGATTTAAAAAGAATATTATACCAATTTCATCTTCTTGAACAATCCTTAACATTTATTGTTATATACTGAATTATTAGAATGGGGTTTTATGGAAATCGTAGGAATTTAATGGTTGAATTTATGAGTCTATTAAAGCTAGACCACTATTGAAAACCTGGAAGCACTGAACGGCCGTTTAGTCCTAGTACAGGACTCCTCAGTCATCCTATACTTCCAGGTTTTCAATGGTGGTCTAGCTTTAATCGACTCATGAGTTCAACCGTTAAATTACATATTGAATTTCAATAGTTGAAATCAGGAGTCAGTTGAAGTTAGACTCATGATTTCAACTATTGAAATCACTGAAATCTCCAGAAAAACCTCTTCTGATTGTTTTAAAAAATTTACTTAGAAGTCAATGATTATAGATTTTGGGTTTGTTGACAGTCCTCAGTTAAATATGCTTAAAGCTGACAAAATCAGTAGCCTACCTATCATCTAGATGTAATTATACACTCTAGAGTTGATGTTTACTTCAGAACTCGAACCCAATACCTGATCGCAAATAGGATGATACATGCATCCTAAATTCTACTATTAGCAACATTCCATTTATTTTACACAATAAGTTGTATCATAATGACTGTATGCACATATGATGTACATATCCCAACTAAAAATGATCAACATTCAGCTAAAAATATAAACACTTCAATGTTGTTTATATCAATCGGTTCATGATCTTAATTAAAAACTTAATAATCTCCATAACCCCCATACTTATATTGACTAAGTTTAAAATGTGGTCATCTGTTCAGTTGCTGTACGTTGTATGTTAGTATTAGATAAATGAAAAAATGATATCCTGATTTTAAGTTTTCTTTAACTACGTACACATTCATCATCAAACTATCTGTCAGAGTTGTAAATGTAGCTTGTTGATGAATTTACTATCCTAATAAATGACCCAAAATAAATAAATAAGAATTGTATTTGAACTGATAGTGACATTGATGATTACAATTCCTCAGTTTAAGATTCAACTACCACCAGTGTGTACCATTCTGTTAATTTATGATTACTAATATTAGGTTTATATGTCTTAACTATGAAATATCAGGAAACATTGGTTCATAGTTTTTTTTCCCTACCCTAGCACACCGATTGGTAATTTTGTTATTTGTAATTAATAAAATAGCCCCGAAAAATATTTTCTTTTCTACTTGTTATTTATTTCCTTATTTGTCTTGATCAACAATTTTGTGCTTACTGTTCATCATCAGTGTCACACAAGTACATAAAATGTTGAAAGACACAAGTATATAGAATCTATTCATATGAATTTTCATCACCATTTTTATCGTAATTTCGATACACTACTTACCTGGTATTGTTAGATTATTGTTCCATTTTATATGGGTTTATTTTTCTCTATACGTCATTTGGAATCACACACACACAGAGAGAGAGAGAGGGGGAGCGTTTTAGCTATTTGTCATTATTATATATGTATATGCGTTTTATGAGTTCAATAATTCAGAAATGATAATGATTACTACTTTTTTTCCTCATTTAAGAAATAGCTTGTCAATTTTGGCCCCATATTTATTCATTTCAATTTTACTATAAACTAGGGTGGAGTTTTCGGCCTTCAATGTGTATATTGTTTATTCTTTTTTTTGTAATTGTTTTAATTACTGTTTTATTGTTTAAATAAAATAACGGGAAATCAGGCGATTCTACCCTTTTTTTTCCTCTCAGGGACATTGTCAAATATATTAAATTTTTATCCTTATATCTTGATATTTCATTGAATATATGACTGGGGAAAGTAAGGTATAAAACTTGAAATGGAAAGTTTTATTTTTTTTTACTGTGTTTCTAATATCTTGCGGCTCAACTATTTGAAAATTAAAAGACAACTTTTTAACTATTGTAACGTTAATATCTTCATGAATTTAATTGTGTTGTATGAATAGGAATATTAAATGAACAATTTTGTAAGCTGGTTGTAGATAACCGGTTATGAACCTTGCTCAACTTAGATTTTTTGCCAGTCCATAAAATGTACCTGCCATTTTGAGTAGACTGATGTCTGATGATGGATCTGAATCCAGATCACTCAACTTCACAGTATGAAGCTTTACTACCAACACTATTTGAGTTATTCAGTAACGTCTAAGTTTATGAAACTGGGCGACATGTGTTTATATTTCACTCAGCGTTGCAAGTAATCTTTGCTGACAATCATTGATCAGCACGTAACTTAAATCGAATAGTATTTCCGCTGTTGACTACCTAACATAATGCAATCGTGTATTAACATCAGTACATTTACTTTTTCATTCCCTTTATATATTATTTCAAATAAAATAATGTACGTTTTGGTCTACCATTACGAATGTTTTGCAAATATTTTTTCCACTCCACCTTTCACTCTTTTCATCTATTTATCTTTTGTCAAATCGATTATTTCTTTCATACAACTTGATCCTTTGATAAATGTAAACGATACGAAAATAATATAATTTACAGAATGAAAATTAATTAATTATTCTATTATAAGGCGGCTTATCATCAGTTGTGATAATAGCCTAAAATCGCACAGAGGCACATAATTATAAACAAATGTTGAACATATTTTAATTAGTCAGATTAATATGAATGATTTCGAGTGCTTCAGAGGCGTCCAGATAGTATTCCCTATCCATCAAGTATCTGACAATTAAACTTGTGAATACTTTATTACCTTGAAAACATGAATTCACAGGAATGTTTTCAGAAAATCTGTTAAAAACCTACTTTCACTTCCTGTCCTTCTTATACAATTGTTATCACAGGTATAACTTAAGGTGATGTGTATTTAATATACCTTTGAACGATATAACAAACAATTAATCTTATATAATGAAACCAACTAGGCTACAGGCAAGCTTCAACAGAAGACGTGTGAAGTTAGATTTTTATGTTTTACTTTTGTTATCAAGATTTTCAGTCCCGTTTTGGAACATTCATTTCATCTTTATTAACTCAAGTTTATTAAACCTCTACTTATAATCATCTATTTCTCTTTCGGTAATTGATGATAAACCTTAGAATATAATAAATTAATTTAGTTTTGTTCTGTAAATTCTATTATTCTTAACTCGGTTTAAATTTTCCTATTTTTTTTTCTTCTTGAAATTTAATTGCTAATTTATGTTAAACAATTTCAACTGTGAAAAATCTACCTTCTTTGTATTAATATTCGTCTTTTGGTTTGTTTGTTTTTTTCTTTG